CCCGGTGTTTCCCCCGCTCCCTTCCCCCCCCGAGTTTTTCTCGCTAACGGTGTTTTATCAAGGCGCTCTTTTTCTTCTTCGTCCGTAGATGATTCTAATGGAGGCATGGGTGGAGAAGCTGCAAGCACAGGGGGTGGGGGTGGAGGAGCTGCCAGCACCGGGGGTGGGGGTGGGGGTCTGTACGCATCGGCGGCGCAGTAGGGGTAAGGCTTGGGGATACCAGCAAAGTCCTCCTCGGGTTCTAGAGACCGCATTTTTCGCTCTTTACATTTCACATATTCATTTTGTGATACCTTTTAATGCCAGCATCCCAGATTCCTCCAGCCACTCAGGCTTACGTTTTAAATAGTAAAACAAGTCCAGATATGGTATTTCCTCCAACCTATTATTGTCTCTCAGATATTGCATTAAAGGAGTCATTATTTTTGATGTTATCGTGCCGTTTCTCGGCCATCGCACCCCCCACAGTATCATACTGGGGCCACACAATATTACAGTAATTGATTAACTGTTTCTTACTCAGTCCTTGCCCAAAATTTTCTTCTTTCCAGTGCTTTATTATACAACCGAGCGAAGAATCGTCAGGAATTTCAGAACACGATAACGCTTTAGAGGCTTTAAACGGCATCATACCCACAGCAACACGAGACACGTACGTGAACTACAAATACCACAAGTAGTTACGAGACTGGATTTTACAACCCGCCGGCCGGAAAACGCCGACTTACCACAATCTTGCCGAGCTCTGCTGTTTTACAGCGAATGCCGGCTCCGCGCAGTTTCTGCAGCGCCTACGACCAACGCTATACGCGACCACAAACAATTTTCGCCGAACCCCGCTGCTTACGGCAAAATGCTGGCTCAGCGCCGCTTTTCGCCGCGTCTAATGAACTAGCTACCACAACCAATTCCTGCCGAATTTCCCTGTTTCCGGCAAATGCCAGCTCGGTGCAGCTTCGCTGCGCTTACGGCTAGCAGCCTTTTCCACAACCAATCTTGCCGATTTCCCCCTTTCGACAAGTGCTAGCTCGGCGCAGCTTCGCTGCGCTTTGCAGCTAGCAATCTTTTCCCACAACCAATCTTGCCGATTTCCCCCTTTCGGCAAGTGCTAGCTCAGCGCAGCGACCGCTTGCGACTTATTGGCTAGCGCCTAGGCTTCCCCAAATTCCTCTCTTTCGCCCAGCCCAGCGGGTATACACAGTCCCGTCTAACAGGTAGGCTTTTACCACCGATATTAGAATAAAGCACCTCCGGGCTTACCGCGTATGGTTGTCCGACGGGCGCGGGGTCGGTCACGGGTAGATGTTCTCCCCAGGAATCACCTGGCCGCCGGCGCGGAGTAGATCGGCTCGTGATCCGCCCCAGCGACCCTCGGAGTCCCTTCGTGGTCGCCAGAAAACTGTTGCCCGTAATGAGAACACAAACTAACAGAGTGTCAGTTTATGCGGTGCTTTATTCAGGGCCCGGGGTCCCTGTGGACTCCTGTCCCAAGACAGGTACCCAAAGACCCACATTTTGAACGCATCTTTTATACTATTTTCCAAGCAAGGTTACATGATTGGTTTTACATTTCACAGGAGACATAGCAGTTAAACATAAACTTACATATCACTTTGATTATATTCAAATATTAATCCATTTACCTGACTGTTAATCCATTTACCTAACTGTAAACATCGTGTAATTAAATCCCACCACCAGATTACATCCTATCTCTAGTTGCAAATTTTCTTGTCTCGGTTCTGCTTGACTTATTGTTTCTTTTTGGTCAGCACAGCCTTAATGTCTAAGCAGTCCCAACTTAGCTCTGACAAGCCCTGACTTGTTTCTGGCAGGGGCCTTTTCAGGCCTATGCTCCAGACAAGCCTTAACCAAACTGCAACACAGTCATTACAAGGGCTACTTCAATAAGCTTACTGAGCAAGAGTTAGGATTTTAACTTACGACTGTAGGATACATATGTGAAAAAGATTAATCGAGAATACAATGCAAGTTGCATTAATTAAACATTGGCTAATGTGTTAGGATATGAATAATTAACTCTGAATTAAGACAATACAACATCATGTCCCAAACACCAAAATTAGGGCTGAAAAAAAAAATCATTTGTAAGTCTTTAAATACAGAATAGTTGCTTAAAACACTATATACAAACTAGTGAACCACTGACCTATCTATCCCATTGTTTCCTTTTCTAATTCTAAGTATGTCACAACTATTGCACAAAACTACTAGGACAAGATTTGGACTCTGGCCAAGAAACAAGGAACAGTAATTTTTTTAACTAATAATTTTTGTAACATAAGTACCCACTGTTGTTCTGCAAAGGTCATATGTTAGTAAGCACCTCTGTGTGTGTGTGTGTGTATGAGAAGTGCCTTTCTATCCATTTCCACCCCTTCTTTGTGAATCTGTTATGAAGTTCAGAGAGGCTGCTAAATAGTCTTTAACAGTGGGATTATTTTAGCATTCCTCTCTGGAGTTTTTCTGACCTGCTCAATAACACTTGTAAAGAGGCTGAACATCGGGTTCCCGACTTAAACAGGCAGATAAATTATTGGGTTTTTTTATATATGGTGGCATTGGAGATAAGAGTTAACAATCTCTCTGACTAGTCTAGTTATTTACTGGAGATTATTTTCATGTAATACCTTTCATTTTCCCACATACTTGCTTTACGGACACTTGATTGTTGTCTACACATATTGTGCCCTTCCACCATTCAGAAATCTGTGAAGTGTGGAGCTTAAAACGAACAGCAGAACTTCTAACATTTAAATAGCTTTGTGCTGCCAAATTTTAAGACTCTGGTGCTTTGGCAGACTAACGTGTTGCCCTGGAAACATTGCGAAAGCCCTGAATGTTTCACTGTTGCTGCCCTACTGCATTGTGGAACAGATGTATTACTAGGTTCAATTATGGAGTTCCACACTGCTCAATGTAATAAGATTTATGCTCTTAGTAAGCTTTCTGTGCAAAGCCAGTGCCTTCCTACTTAATTGTTAAGGCAATGTATTTTGTTGACTGGGCAGTTTGGGGGCTATATGCCTATTTCCATATTGTCCTTAAGTATCAAACATCCTTTTGAATGTATTCTTGTTACTTTACTTGTTTCAATGAGAGCCCCTGGTGGTCTAGTGGTAAAGGCGCCACACTGTCACTGCCGAGACCCGGGTTCGATTCCCGGTCAGGGCCACTCCCGGGCTGATGGAGCTCGTTAACCCTTAATAGGCAATCCATCTACGTCCTAAGGACCTCGCTGCCACCGTCCAAGCTCGCTTGGCCCCGGCAGATGAACCTTAGGATTAAAGGGTGGGCTCAGTTCCGCGCACACTCTGTCTCACCTAAAAAATCCAATGCGCAGGCTGGAAGGTGTAAAGACCTTCCCCGGATCTTCGCTCGCGAAGACTGGCCATTTATTACTTGTTTCAATGTAAGACCACTGAAATGAAACAAGATTTTAAAACAGAAAGCTGAATTTCATTATTGTTTTGGCTCTAAGTCTGCTTTCTGTGGGATCACTTTTTCACTGCGGCTCCCAGTGGTCGAAATCTATCAGCATCTCCTTCTCCGGCTGTGGACATGACAGTGAACAATCAGGACACAGAACAATCTTCTGTTTTGGTGAAAACATTGTGTTCTGCCGTAGCTGAGAATTACTGAATCACATCTGTGGGAAAGGAGTTCTGCGTGTCCTTTGGAACAACATTGCCCAAAAGAACCTGCAGCTGTTCACATTCATGTATCTTAAACAAAGCTCAGGCGCAGCTCGTTAAAAATGCAGCTTCCTGCTGCCAGGCAGTTGGAGCTTATTCTTTAGAGACCATCAAAAGCAGAGCTGCTGGCATGGGGGTGAGTGGGCCGAGTGCTGAGCACAGCACACAGCCACAGCCTCAGGGCTCTTGAGCAGGGCGGGGACAGCAACGGGACGTGTCCGCAGCCCAGCAGTTACCAGGTGACGGCCAGGTAAGGAGTCATGTTCCAGGTCTAGGAAATCCTTGTGAAAGTTCAGGGAAATGGGGGTGTCACTATCCCTGGGGGTATTTAAAAGGCGTGATATGTCAGTTATAGGTACATAGTTCAGGGTGGAATTGGCAGTGTTGGATTATTGTTGGACTCCGTGACGTTCTGGGTGTTTTCCAACGCAAATGATTTCGTAATTCTGTGAGTGAGAGCGGAGACAGGCAGTGGCAGCGGGCTCCGGGAGCATCTAAAATGGGTCTCCTGGGCAGAAGGGCGTGGGGATGTTGGTCAGGTCCAGTTCGGACAGTGATGCCTTAATGCAATCTGATGCGACTTTCTAAAATGCAATTTGCTTTAGTTATCTTTTATTATTATTATTATTATTATTATTGTTCATTTATCCCTCCCTCCCGCCGTGCATTTACGTAAAGGATCTTTCCTTCCTGCCGCTGATTGACAGCCGGAGAAGCCGCCGCTGTTTCTCCCTGGGAGGACCGGGCTCGGTGCGAGGCGGCGCTCCCGGGAAGGCGGCGCTCCTGCCGCGCCCCTGCCCGTGCCCGCCGGCGGCCGGAGCGGCAGGAGGGCAGGGGCAGCATGGTGGTGTCGCCGCTGCTGCGCGCCGTCATCATGGGGCCGCCGGGCTCCGGGAAGGGCACCGTGTCCGCTCGCATCATCAAGCACTTCGGCGTGAAGCACCTCTCCAGCGGCGACCTGCTGAGGGACAACATGCAAAAGAGGACAGGTGGGAATGGGGACGGGGCGGGGGTGTGCGATCCCTCTCCCCGCGCCGCTCCACGGGCACCGTCCCCACGCCGCCCGGCGGGAGCCGCCGCCTGACGCGGCCCCGGGCACACGGCACGCCGTCCTTCCCCAGCCGCCCTCCCTCCCTTCTCCCTTCGGGAAGCCCTCGGGCGCTTCTCGATGGGGGGTTTGCTGTTCCCCAGCCCCAGCTCAGTGCTCCCCCCTCACCCAGGCAGGGGCTGGGTGTCTTCACACAGCTCCTCTGGAGGCCGGGGGCAGCGGAGTAGGCCTCGTACCTTCGGCCCCGGGTCCTCTAGGAGGTGCCACTTGGCATCTTTGAGAAGGTGTACGGGGTTATCTGGGGTTATGTCGCTTTCCTTGCTTTGTTACACCTCATTTTTTCCTCGTCTTGGTGCTTTTTGTAAGCACACAGTAGTTTTTGTAGGTGTTTCTTATAGCTCTGCTAGTCTCTGATACTTTTTCTAGCTGGCAGCATGTTAAAAGAGAAAAATACACTTTTTAACAGTCAGGGCAAGAGGAGGGATTCTGGGCAATTAGACTTCTTCAGATCTCCATTTGATGGCTAGGAGTACAGGCACCTAGAATTATTACAAGCTATTCCACAATTAGAAAGCCTTGTCCCAAACAGGCAGGCATAATGGTAGTGGTGCTTTCCAAAAACGAACAAATTTCAAACTGCTTATCTTACGCTTTTATTAGTATTGTCATCTTACAAGTTTATATCATACTTAGGTTGCAGCATGGTCTGTGTTTGCATGTAGCACTGCTTGTATGAGGTAATGATGTGAATTATTCTTGCTCTATAGTCCTAGCTTGACCTCTGGCCTCTGTTGAGATGCCATAGCCCCTGCCTGTGGGGGATTTTTGCAATGATGAAAGGTCCCCTCCTGACTTCCATGCCTGCTTTTCTTCATGCTGGGGTGAGAAACCTTGTAAGAACCATTTCTGGTTGCATATGATGAAGCAAGAGTATTGTTATTTCCAACACTTTAAAGCTGTATAGATAGCATTGTATTAATCTCTGAGTATCATGGTAACTGGTACTCTTTGTTTTTGGAAACTCATATCTGTGTTTGTAGTTGAAAAATTAGCTGCATTGTGAAATCAGTTGTGGTGTGATTTCCACATCTCTTCACACAAATTCTGTTTGCCCAGTAAGAACAATGACTTCATCATAGTGACCAACTTTACTAGAGTTGATATCCACAAGTTAAGGATTTGCTAGGAGCACCCCCTGTGCAGGCATATCTGATCATATTCATGGTATTTCTGTCTGGTTGGTTGCACAGTCAAAAGTTTTTATTTACCGAGGGTCACAAAACTGTTTGTTATTACATTTCAGTGTAAGACCTAGTGGGGCCATTTTGGAAGACAAAGGAAATGTGTTATTTTTACCAAGTGCTTTGGAGTTTATGTTACTTACTAAATACTTTAAGTTTTGTGCTCTTTCAATATGTCTTGGAAGCAAGATCATAAAGCACCAGAATCAAGCTGAAGGATGTGTGAGAAGAGAAAATTGCAAGAGGAAATACCATGTTGCTTGATTCGAGGAGGGAGCCATGAAGTGGTGGAAAGAAGTGAATAGGCAAAGAATTCTAGGTGGGTTGGAGAGATGACAGAATGTGAAGCAGAGCAAAGGTGTGAAATGAAAATGTAGCAGACATGTTAAAACCCTGAATGGGAGGAGAGAAGCCAGTGGAGGGTGTACGTAGTGATGGTTTTCTCTGACTTGGCTAGCACAGAACTTAACAGAATCTGCTATAGAGTTTTTCATTCACTAATTAACCCAAATAAAGTTCTATTGTAATTTCATTGAAAGTCAGTCACTAGTTACAGAAATGGTCTCTGAAGGGTTGAGATGAAGTATGAGGTAGCAGGAATAAGTAGTACACTGAAGATAGGAGAATAACAGGCAACTCAGAGAGCTTTGATAAGTTCAGTCAAGGCAAAGCATTTGAGTTTTGATCATAATAGAAGAGTCCAGAATTTCCCTTTCTTTGGGAAATGTCGTATGCTAAGATGGGCAGTTAAAACACTTGGAAAATTAGATATAATTAACAATAGTTATATGGTGCAAATTTTGGCATTTGCTGTCTTGTGAAAATGGACATTGTTGAAAAGTCCTGTTGAAGATGTGTCTGTAGCAATTTGCAGTTACTACCACGTCCTACTGCTTTGGAGAGTGGAGAGTCTGTGACCACCTCTCTAATGCTAAGGAAACTATTGTCTGATTATGGCTAGAGCTTGTTTGCTGTAATGTGGTTAGAACATGCCAATCTTTTGTAAAAACCTGAAATGTGGATACCTGTTATCACCTAGAAAGAAAAGAAACCTGTGTTCCCTTTAATTCCCAAAACTGCCTTGCCTATAATGTTTTCAGACCCAAGCTGACAAAAACCAGAACTAAATAAACCCAACAAAACCTCACAAAATCTCCCTCCCAACAGCAGGGAAACAATAACAACAAAAAGCTATGATCTAGTGTGTACAAACTTTTTGTCTTAATATAGAACTCTTTGGGTAAAGTTTTGCCTATTTTTCTCCTTCTGTAGTAGTAACTTTCTAAAGTACCTGAGTTCTGTAGAGAAAGGTAAGAGGCACTACGTTTCCAACTCTTTTGGTCTAATAATAGGACCTTGCAGCTTGCTGTGTTCTAAACCTCTCTGGGCCCAAAAACTCATCAGTCTTTCCAAAGTATATTAGAACTGTTCTCTGTGAACTTTGCCTTGCACATATTTTTAGATCTTTGTGGCTAGAGCAATGCTGCAACATAAATCATAGCAGACCCAAGCATCAAGTAAACATTAACCTATCCAGAGGTGATTTGTTCCTCCTCCCAGTCTACTTTTGCAGGGTACATGGTTTAAAGTGCACTAGAATAGTAAGAGGTGTGACTTGCTGATCTTGAAGAAGGAAGGAAGGGAAGGAAAAAAGCCCAGGCAGATTCAGTGTCTATTTCATGGTCTTCAGGCTTTTCAAGCCTGACTACAGATGTGAACACTCAATACGGGGGAAATAGCCTCTTCATTGTTATGGAGGGATTTTTGTTTTGGTTTGGTTTGTTTGGTTGGTTGATTGGTCTTTGGTGGTTGGTTTGGTTTTTTGTCATCACCAAAGCTATTGTTTGTTTTGCATGTACTACTTTTCAATTGCCTTATCTGAAAAAGAGCCTCTGTACTATTGCATATTCTGTGCACTCAGTGACTGGACTGGCATTTTTCATTGCTTTATGCTGAAAGTGGTTATATCTTGTGTTGGTATGTCAGTCCATCCCATTTCTCTTCTGCTTAGTTTTCTGTAACTAGATCTGAACTGGCTGCAAGTAAAGGCTTCAGCAGATACACAATAAAACCAGTCTAGCTGCTGCTCCGGGTGACTTAACATAACTGGGTAATTGTTTTGCAAATGAAAGCTATGGAGACTTTGTGCCTGGGACAGAACTGAGTTTCTTCCTGGCTGTTGCCAATTATACAGCATGCAACTGCCTGTCACGTAGGAGCATGGTGTGTTACCTGGAATCGTGATGTGTGGATGTAATTTTAGTGAGCCAGTGGGCTAAATGACTGGTATTAAAGGTTAGTCAGTTCCATGGGAAAATACTAGTGCCTGTGTGCTCCCATAAATAGTTTACAACATCTATAAACATCCTGTTGTAACTCTAGTAATCATAAAAATACATATCTGGCAAGCGTGTCACACTGCATACTACTCTCTTAAATGCCAAAGACATTTTCTCTTCGTAGGGAAGAGTTAGTAGCTAACTGAGAAACTAACTTTTTTTCCTGGAAATCTGAGGACTGATATATTAATAAACTTGTATCCTGTATATTTCTTACTTTGAAGACTCTTTTGCCTAATGGTCTCTCCCAATCTTAGTTTTATGAACTTACTATTTCAAATACTTACTAGTAAACTTTTTCAGGGGGTGTGGGGATAGAGGTGTGTTCTGCCCTATTGCTGTCTGTCAAACTGATCAAATGAATCCTATAAACATTTGCACAGTCAGATCCTACCTGATCATCTGTTTTTTTTTTTTTTTTTAATTTTAGCAAGCATACTGTCTGTGTTGTTTACAATTTTTCTGTGCCATCCTGATCAAAACAAATTTCTTGCAGGCTTGTGGGAGGTCTTTGCTTGCTGGAGGTCAGAGATAGTGTAATACAACTTCTCTTACTTTTGCAGAAGTTGGAATCCTTGCCAAGTCCTACATTGATCAAGGGCGGCTTATTCCAGATGACATCATGACACAGCTAATGCTGACTGAGCTAAAAGGTCTAGATCAGTACAACTGGCTGTTGGATGGTAAGTTAGCATACTGGTAATCAGTGTATATGGAGAGAAAATCTGGTCTGGGAAGCTTGGAATGCTTTAGTCTCTTGTTGCCAGCTTGTGAAACCTTCAGCAGCTAGTCTGCCTCAGTTTCTTTGGCTGAAAGATGCTTTGGGTGCATCCTGCCTTCAGTACATTACAGGGATATTTAACTCATGTTGAAAACTCATGTTCAACTCAATATTCCAGTAAAATTTCAAAACTGGCAGTTCTGGTAGTTTTTATGATAATGATTCACTGAGAAGTTTATTTTTTTCATGTCTTTTCTTGTTAAAGTCCATGGGAATGGAAAAACTTTTGAAGGATGGGGCTGAGTAATTATTTAAATAGAAAGATAGGCATGTGATGCAGTTGACAAGGTAAGTACTGCACCAGTGTGGTGTGTAATAAATCACTAACAAAACTAGTGCTTAAGTGCTCTAAAAGGTCTCTTTCTTTTTTTGTTGGGTTCTGTTCTCTAGAGTGAACTGTTTTGCAGTTCTGCAGTGTAAGCTCATGCTTCAGCATTCACACTAGAGAGAAAATGCATTTGCCAACGACTTCATGAACTGGATGGTTCTTCTTGTTCTAGCCCATGAGAGTACACTTGGATGAGCAGCACAAAGACAGTGCCTAGGCTGGACTTTTCAGACTCCAGTCACAACATGTCTCAGTAGATAAAACTAAAAAGTTATTGGTGTGGCTTTTTTTTTTTTTTTTTCAGAGAGAGTGAAAAATCCCCAGTGTTCTCTGTCCTTAGTGCTTTATTATAATTGCTTCTAAGTACAGTGATCTGTTCCGATGGGTTTACTCACAGTAACGTTCCTCCCTGAGACAAAGGCTTCATTCCACAGTGAACAGCACAATGTAACCTAATTAATAAAGCAAAGAGCTGCAGGTTCTTTTTTCTTTTTCTTTAGTTCCAGCGCCTGTGTAAGCACAGTTCGAGCCTTGTGGATCTCAATTTGCAGCAGCATAGCTGCACACATTGGCAGATCTAACCAGGAAGATTGTGTGGAGACCATAAGAGAATTTAAGTCAATTTCTGTTGCATGTTAACATGCTGCTGCCTGTAAACTTTTGGAGCAAAAATTTTGTCTGCATCAGCATGTGGAATGAGACTCAGTGAATTTCACCAGGGTAGAGCTGGCGTAGTAGGCTTTGTAGGAACAACACTGTTCTGTTGAAAAATGTTAATCTGAAATCTTTAGTTTGATAACTGTAATGGAGAACAAACAGCTGAGGTCAGCTGTCTCAAGCCAGAGTTGTTGAACTCCTTGTATTCTCACTTAGCCAAATAGCCATTTACTGCCTTATGATAGGTTGGTGGCTTCTAGAATTATAGCAGATATGGCAGTCTAAGTCATATATGTCTGTGGTTATAATCTGTTTAGATTTATGTGTGGTATAATTTAGGGCACTTTTCTGTTTTCCTGGAATCTTCATCACATCTTGTAGATTTTTTTCTGTATCAAGAAAACACTGTGTGCAGCAAACACTGGTTTATTTTTAATGAAATGTTTTTGTAAAGGCATTTTAATTTGTTGAGGAAGTTTCTCATTACTCAGTCCCACAGGAAACTCCTTTTCCAGCTGCATAACTGAGATGTGTGGTGGCTGACTATCTCACCAGTAGTAAGAACAGCAGTGCTGAAGTCACAGCTCTCCCTCTGCTCTTAACATTTAGAAGCACTTCTACGAGATAATGTGAATGTGTGAAAAACAGGATGAGGGCACCTGATGACTGTGATGCAAACCAGGTGCATGAGACTTAATGCACAAGCAAGAGCTTTGTCTGAGTTAATTAGCTCTGTCCTTTTATCATGTTTTAGATCAGACACAGTAGCCTTAAGACTTTTTTTTTTCCTCTTGTAAGACTAGTTCTTTGCTTGTTCAGGCAGTTGACTGATCAATAAATGCTATTCAAGAAGAGTTTCTGAAGTTTGTGCTTCTAGGTACTTGCCTTTATGGAGAAGTTTACTTGTGTAGTATGATGAAAATTACAAGCTACTGAATTACATGAGACTATGCTAGAGCTTTGTGAGTAGAGGCATTGTTTCAGTGAATAGCATGTTCTGCAGTAGCTTTGACCACCAAAGTTCTTGTTCTTAATTTTTCATTTTCAATTCATTGTGGAGACCTTTGTTTTCTTATTCTTTGTTTGCTACTGCATGCTTTCTAAAGTTTCTCTAATAGTTGAAATCACAGAATAGGGAGCTATAAAGTTCATGGGGCAAAATGCAGTCTTTTAGTGAAAAGACAGGTTTCTCCTGTGCAGCCTGGGTGTTCTCACAGTCATCATACCCCAGGACAGCTTGATACTCTAGAACTTCTAGAACCCCTCCTAAAGCTACACTTTTATATAAAATCAATCCTGGGCTGCCTCTGGTATATATTTGGTTTACTGCAACTGAATAAAACAGGTTTGTAGTGGTCACCGCCTTAAACCAGACTTGCCCAACTGTGGAAATAAGAGATGTCACAAATGCTTCTAAATTATTCCAGACATCTCAGTGAAGCTTTTCACTGGAGCTTTTATTGTTTCAAATGCATATATAGTGCTTTTATGCAATGTAGTGGTATGTGGTACATATCAGTATGGGTTCTTTTTGCATTTATGTGTTACACTTTTGGGAAGATGATTCACTGAAATGAGGAAATGAAAGCTGGGAGGCATTTAACAAGTTAAAATGCTGTTATAGACTGAAAAATACTTGGGAAATCTGATATCTCTTCAACTTTTAGAGTATGATAATGGTTTTTCTTTTTATTTGATAATTATTTTCTCTAATGACTGAATCCAGGTAACTCTGCTTTTGGAATTTTATGGAGTTGTTTCCTTTCAAAAGGTTTCCCCAGAACAGTTGCTCAGGCGGAAGCCCTGGATAAAGAATGTCACGTAGACACTGTAATTGACCTAGACGTGCCATTTGAGACCATAAAGTGTCGGCTCACAGCACGTTGGATCCACCCTGCGAGTGGCAGAGTCTACAATCTTGAATTCAGTCCTCCCAAAGTGCAGGTAAGCATAATACATGTTGGTGTGGCACTAAATAAATGCTGCATTGGGTAAAATGTTGTTTGCATATATTGTTTCAAAACACAGTGGCTCAGAAAAAGAGGGCTGATTTAATCTCTTGGGAGCGAGCATAGAATCTTTCCGGTAACACCCTGCCTCTGAGAGAATGTTAGTGACCTGGTAGAACCTCAAGCTGGAATACTGTCTGCCTCGCACACTGGCATAGGATCTGGGCATATTCTTAGCCTGTTTGCAGGCTGTATAAGCCAAAATGTAGTTTCCTTTTCCGTCCTCCAGAGAAGTAATTGTATCTAGGAAGCACAGAATCCTCAGTCAGAGGAATACACTTAGTGCTTTCCCTGTGTTTATATTTAAATAGGATGGGAAGGGAAGGGAAGGTCAGCTGTACTGCAAAATTGGATGTAGAAACTTGCAAGTCAGGGAAGCTTTTCAACAGATCTAAGAGGTGAAATATCCTAAAGTGGAACTTGAAGATATGGATTGTACATTGTTCCCTTAAGGTTTTTGAAGAATTAGGATTCTCCTTAGTGCAACTCAGCTTAAGCTGTATTTCGTCTGCAATTCTAAATAACTTAGCTGTTGGCATCACATTTCACCTGGAAGCTCTAATAAGTTACATCAGAAGCACAGCAGGCCCTATAGTTTTTGGATTTCAGTGTTGCAGGGAAAGAGGCCAGCTTGAAGTAGCAGGTAAGCACTGGAACTGAGCAACTGAAAACATTGCCTTTGTTTTGCTTTAAAGGAGGTGTATAAAATCACAGTTATTTTTAATTGCAGAAGAGCATGGGCAAGCTGCAACAGAGAATTATCAGACCTACCAAAGAACAGGCTTCAGCTGCCAGAGCTGTGATACTAGGAACGTTGCTTTACCTTTTGCTAATTAGTGGGCATATCACAACATAGTAGATTGCAATATATAAGTGAAACCATGGAATAGAGCTGAATAAGTGAAATACAGTTGTATCTAACAGACCTGCAAAACATTTACTTACTGAATAGGAACAAGAGATTATAGTTCAGACATTAGGTCCCTACCTCTGTAGGGAAAGCTTCAACTGACTTTTACGCCGTTTTTTTATACAGCTGTTGCCAAATGATAACTCTTCCATTTTGCAACTTAAAATCAAAGGCCCTTTAAAACCTTTGCCCATTTTAGTATTGTCAAAGGCCCATTTGGTCTCTTATTTGCTGCTATGCAGGAATGTATTACTAACAATATTGTTTTCCCTTCTACGTGAAGGCTTTGTGTACATGTTCCCCATATTCTACGAATGCTTCAGAGGACAAATTAGTCAAATTACTGTGATAATATTCATTGGCAACGCTGAGAAAATATTTCTAACCAATGGACTGTTTTACTGGAAAGTCAACAACTTGTATTGCAGATAAGATACAAGCAGCTGCCTTTCTCTTTATAAGCAGAAATCTACACTCTAACTGGCAGCTGATCATAATTTAAACAGAAATAAGAAATATACTCCAGTGTTTGCTTTTGACCCTGATTAGGGCATTGATGATATTACTGGTGAGCCACTTGTTCAGCGTGATGATGACAAGCCAGAGACGGTTAGCAGGAGGCTGCAGGCTTACGATGCACAAACAAAACCTGTTCTAGAATATTATCGGTAAGTAGTAAAATCTATTCTTCCATATTCTAAAAGCTCATTTCCCACTAGCATAGCAATGAACAGATCCTCCCAGTTACAGAATATCTTATACTGCAACACTGAATGAGGTGTGAGTAGCCATGTAGCTTTCATGGCCTCAAAAAGAAATCAACCCAGTAGAATGTTTTCCACTGTTGGATGGGACCTTTTCAGGCATCTGCATAGTAAAATAGCCTGTCACCACAGCCATATTTAGCTTTATAAAGAGCTCTATGCATTATTCAATACATCATAGGACTGTTCTGAGGAACACAGCTCTGGTGAGTAAGGTAACAGAGACATTTTCTTTTGGAAGATCTTAACAGTATTTTGATTTCTGAATGTGTAAGTAGAAACCCTCCTAATAAGTGCAAGGGTTCAAGAAGCAACACACAAATAGAGAAACTGCCTAATGAGCATTTAAAAGTGTCTGTTCTAAGAACAGGACTGTGAAGGGCCCAGCTAGCGAGACTCTTTGGGAATAAGAAGCTATTTAAGTATTATGTCATTTGCATTGTGGAGTGATAACAAATTACTAGTTCCCTCAAGAGCCAAAATTATACAGTTTCTTCTGATGTAAAGCAGCAAGTAGTATCACACTGCTAATATACAGATAATAGTAGGTAACCATGTAGACCTTTACTCTTAACTTGCCTAGACAAAGAAATCAGTCTGACAACATCGTGGAGGAATTGTCCTTCCTCTATCTCCCTATCTACCATCCTTCATTATGTGCTAACAGGATTGTTGAGCAGAAGATTAAGGGCTCCATCTTTGGTGTGGTTAAGTTTTAAAGAAGTTTTTCTAGAGTGACAGTGGTATTCCTGATTTTGTTGGATTTCTGAAGTGAAAATGCCTCAAAGACCACAGTAAAACAGGTCTAAGCTATTGTTATTATTGATAATAACATACTGTACAGATAAAACTAGCTACTAATTCAGAATAACTCAATTGTGCTTGGTAATCTTGCTTGTTATGATGCATATCCGTGAGGTGCAACTTTACAATACCTGTTAGTCACAGTTTGGATGACTGCTGTACAGCATGTGCTGTATGAATATATTGCTGCTTATCTTTATCCTAGGAGCCCCTGGTGGTCTAGTGGTAAAGGCGCGGCGCTATCACCGCCGAGACCCGGGTTCGATTCCCAGTCAGGGCCACTCCCGGGCAGGTGGGGCTCGTTAGCCCTTAAAGGCAACCCACCTACGTCCTAAGGACCTCGCTGCCACCGTCCAAGCTTGCTTGGCCCCGGCAGATGAACCTTAGGATTAAAGGGTGGGCTCAGTTCCGCGCACACTGTGTCTCACCTAAAAAATCCAATGCGCAGGCTGGAAGGTGTAAAGACCTTCCCCGGATCTTCACTCGTGAAGACTGGCCATTATCTTTATCCTGCTTGTTAAGCAGACAGCAGTCAGTTTTGTGAACTGATGTGGCCATTACATCGCTGTTTGAGGAAGAGAGTAATGAATGTCCAGCCTGCATTTTCAATATTATGTCTGTTCTTGGTGTTAAATCACACACTTATTCCTGCCAGGGCAATCTTGGAGTGAAGTGGAGGTCTCGGGACAATTAAACAATTTGATTTCTTTAACCATTTCTTCTTTTTCTTCCTTAGGGAAAAAGGGTTATTGAAATCCTTCTCTGGAACAGAAACCAATAAGATCTGGCCACATATCTATGCTTTCCTTCAAACCAAGTTGCCAGATGTGAGCCAGAAAAATGATGCCGTTCCCAGGTGAAAATAGGTCAGACTTCTGCTCATCTGTCATCACTCGATCTTGATTACATGAGACTCAGCCATCAAGGATTTTTCCACATAGTCTACCAGACTGATCAACAATTAAAGTCCAATGCTGTCCTTAATTTACATTATGATAGAATTGTGATGCCTGTGGTTCTCACTTTAATGCTGTAATTTTTTATATTAAATATACCTAATTTCTAAAATATAGTAACTAACTTTAACAAAAGCAGCTACTCTCGTGTCTCTTATTTGGAAAATATGTTTGCAAACATTGACTGGTGCAGGAAACACATTTCAGAATACAGCTTAATTAGAAAGCACATGGGTTGATTTACTCACTCATTAAAAGAAGCAACGATGAGGATATGAAAGCACATTTCTTGAATGCATCGTAAGTTGGGGCTAGCCAGAAGCTGTGGAGAACCATGACCACTGTTCTGCAAAAAGCCATTTCAGACCAGAACTGGCATTTACAGATGGGTTGATCTCATGGAAGAGTCATCTTCTTGTAAGTTTGCGTGCACAGATGTTAAGGTGGCTTTGCTTGGCTTAAATTACACTTAACACTCACTTTGGTGATTTGCCTTATTACTAAGTTTATATTTCTGTCCTCAGAGCAACTACCTTGCAGGCATAGGAAATAAGAGTTTCAATGAGTTTCAATTTGGTCAAGCTTCTCTCTAAAAGACAGCAGACACTGAACAGATTAACTGTATCCGGTGAAGCTACAGCCGGATGATCTTGATTAGTGAACATGTCTTTTCTAGCATCTCTGAAAACAACGGCCCATTGATGCCAGTGCCACAGTTTTCAGCGGTCAAATTATTAACTTTGGCATATTACTGCAACAAGTTTTATTGTAGCAGTTGGACAGGTTTGATGAGATTCTTGTCTCTGACCTGCTCTTGTGTTTATTTATTCACTAGATAGCTGAATTACAAACCTTCACAACCCACACAACCCAGGAAGTGCAGACACTGCTATTTTTCAGTGAACTCTCCCAGCCCTTTTTTTTTATGCTCACCAGATCAAGAGTTTAAAGAAAAGAGTCAGCAAAGCTTGAGCAACAAACAACTATGTCTAGGCAGTGTCTGAAGGTAGCTCTGTCCTAGTAATGCAGGCCACAATCTCCTTTTGCAGTGACTGTAGGCAGCTGCAGAGCTGTGATGTTGACATACCTTGGACTGCATTGGCTCATCAGGTTTTAGAACTGTCAATATTGAGACATGTTTAAGTCTAAAAAAAGAGATGGTCATTGCAGAATTTGTAAGGCTTTCCCATTACTATAAATAAGCAATATAGCAAGCAGCTATCACTACAATCAGTTTTCCTTACATTTTAAATAAGGCTTGCCAAAAAGGTAGCCCACTTGTACTTGTCCTCTTCAGAAATGTCTATATGGAGGCTGCAGACTGAGTTTAGAGATGAGCTTCCTTAAAATCATGGTTAGAAAACAGTAGGTACCATATTACAGTGAGAAATCCTGATGTGTTGCGTTGCTTACCCTGATTTTTGCATTTTGATTTCAGTAAAAAGCAGTGATGATTGGGGTTTTTTGCTAGCCAACATAAGTTTCAGTGAGCCAGAAGAGAGAGGGAATATCCTTATTATCTACCACTTATTCCCACACCATCCAATTTATCCCCTTAGAAACTTTAAAAATAACTCTTAAGTGTACCACAGGTTGCTAGATCAATGGCTTTGCTCCTAATGGTAGCAATTGCAAGTCACTGTGCTACACTGCCCTTACTATTCTTACATATAACATTCAGTTAAAAAACAACCTGAAGTTACTAGTTTTCCCTTAGTTTCCCTTAATAATTAACTAATTATTAACGACAAGGCAGTGTTTACTTATCCCTTCTGGAGTATCTGTCAAACTTGAAAAATACAAATCTCTGCTGAAGCTGGTTTTCTTCAGTTTGCATGTGGGATAGAGCTGCTGCTTGCTGCTTTATCCACAGTCTGTCTGCAAAAGAATGCTACAGAGCACATGAAAAGATACTTCTGTGGATCTGCTGCTGCATTTGTACGATTAATACAATACAGACTATTGTACTAGCAGTCTATACTCTGGTATAGACTGCAGACTTACACTTTTCCCTATTTTGGTTGTAGCCAAAGCTGAAGATTACAGGATCCCAGCATGGCTTTTCATAGAATCTTTAAGGTTAGAAAAGATTTCCAAGATCGATTCCAACCTCTGACCAATCACCACCATGTCAACTAGACCATAGCACTGAGTACTATGTCCAGTCATGTCCTGAACACTTTCAGGGATGGTGAGTGCACCACCTCTCTGGGCAGTCCATTCTAATGCCTGACCACCGTTCCAATGAAGAAATTCTTCCAGATGTCCAACCTGAACCTTCCCTGGCACACCCTGAGGCTGTTTCCTCTCATCCTATTGCTAATTGCCTGGGAGAAGAGGCCAACCCCTACCTGGCTACAACTTCCTTTCAGGCAGTTGTAAAGAGCAGTAAGGTCTTCCCTGAGCCTGCTTTTTTTCAGGCTAAACAAGCCCAGCTTCCTCAGCTGCTCCTTGTATGACTTGTCTCCAGACCTTTCACCAGCTACTATTGCTTCACCGAACACCCTCCAGCACCTCAACATCTTTCGTGGAGTGAGAGGCCCAAAACTAAACACAGGATTCCTGTCACCAGTGCCCAGTACAGGAGGTCGGTCACTTCCCTGGTCCTGCTGTTTCTGATACAGGCCAGGATGTCATTGGCCTCCTTGGCCACCTGGGCACACTGCTGGGTCATGTTCAGCTGCTGTAAACCAGGAACCCCAGGTCATTTCCAGCTTTCTAGCCACTCCTCCCCCAGCATGTAGTTGCTGGGTTGTTGTTTTGCCTGAACTAAAAACTGCATGTAGACTGTATTCGTTGAACTATTGAAATCAAAACCTTGTGTACAATCTGAAAAATACAGTAAAGGATAGAGTGTGTGTACTGATACCATTATTTGAGGTGTGAGCTGTCTTCATTGGAGTCTTCCAAATGAAGTACACATTTTATGGACAGACCTGGTGTAACAGCAGCAAGTTAGAAAAGCACAGTAGAGTTTTGCATTGCAAAAGTTCTGTGGAAGGAAGACCTTGTCTAGAAATAGTGTTTGGATTTCCAGCTCCTCAAACAGGAAGCTTTCAATGATTTTCCATTTTGATTGTTTGAGCTGACAATATTAGAAACCCACTTTGGTTTGGTAGCATAATGAAGGACCTTTCAAACACCACATGACACCTCACCCTGAATGACCTGTGACAAAGCATTTTGTTTAAGCTGAAGTCTTAGCCTAACACTTGTACCTCAAGTTATCACCATCCAATACTTCTACCCATAATGACACTTGGTTTAAAAAAAGGATCTGAAATTAGCCTTAAGAAGAGAGTCAGACTCTCAGAAATCATACAAGTCAGCACTCATTTGTACACAGGTGTTGCTTAAATGTTAGGACAAAACCAAGTTACGTTTAATGAAGGTACAATATTACATTTATATCCCCTTAGTAGAGGTAGAAAGCCAGTGTTTTAATCTAATCCATTCAGATCAGAAATACTCATACCAGATACTGATTTATTGCTATTAGTGGTAACCAAATTTGAGAGCTTATACTGTCAGCAAGGTAGCATGAATACAGTTGCAATCTCCAATGTTCAGAGTAAATCATGTCCACATCTGTAGTAAGACAATAACAGATTCTACCAAGAATCTGCTACTTCTTGTAAACATTGTATTTGTGCAGATTTGTTTTTAACTTTAATTTCTAAAGTCATGAAAGGCAAGGTTAGTAGCAGAAAACACATCCAGTTTCACATTCAGCAATATAAGAACCCTGCTCTTCAAGGACAACCAAAAACCTAGCAGCACATTTTCAAACAATATTACAAGTTTTTCTGAATTACCCACCCTTCAGAATCCCTTTCCCCCTAAAACCAAACAAAAAACAACAAAAAATCTGACACTAAAAATAAAGTGCAGTACCCAGAAAAATAAGTGTCAAGAAAATAGCCATGTTTGTTTCTTTGGGGAAAAAAAAAAAAAAAGGAAACAAAAAAGTACTTGGCCTCAGTCTTGAAAGAACTATAATGTGTCCATCATTTTTGATTCTTCTTCATCTCTTTGTATCACAGAGTTGAGACTGCAGACATCTGTGTTTATGGAACCTTGTAGATCTCCTGTGTTCTGAAACAGATGAAAAACTGACAGCTTAATTCTCCACAATTATATACATGGAGAGAGAAGGAGAGTGAAAAACAGATTGTAGTTTAAGTAAACAGTTTGTGTTGTCCATCTTATGATGAGACAAATTTGCAATAGTAAGAAAATAAACTCTGATAAAACCATCAACCATCACTGTGTCAAGAATTTTTAAAATTTGCGGAAATAGCTTGTGTTTTAGCTTAATATTTCTAGCACCTAACTGCACACTTACTTAAAATTCAGCTGTTTGATCTTATGTGAGAGATAATTTAATCAAATTATTTCAAATAAGTACTTTCAATTGTGACACCTTCCCTAATACCTAATTTTGGACAATCTTTTAAGTTGCATTTTCATTCCAGAATGTGGCCATAAGTAGAACTGTAAAAAACACCTAAGTATGCTCAGTTTCCTTTTATCACATAAGGAGATTTTCCTTAAGCTTGACTTGTCTTGCCCAGAAAAGTTGTTGGATCCCTGGAAGTGTTCAAGGCCAGGTTAGATGGGACCTTGAGCAAAGTGGTCCAGTGGAAGGTGTCCCTGCCCATGGCAAGGGAGTTGGAACAAGATGAACTTTCAGGTCCCTTCCAACCCAAGCCACTCCACGATTCTGTGACTTACCAGAATGATCCCATGAACAGGACTAGTTATTTTACATTGCTTGTGGTAAAGACTGTGACTACAAAATGTAAAGGCACTGAACAAACATATGCTTTTGACCTTATGCTGTTGCTTTCTGAATTCCAGCAAGTAAAAAGAAAGCCTATATATGCCTTGTGTATTAATAATACTGCATGCTATATCCCAAGCACTAGCAGTTCCAGGAATAACCTTGTTTATATCTCAGAAAGGTACAGCTTCTCAAGACAAGACCTAATCTTTAGTTAAATTAATGTCTAGAAATAATAAACCTACCTGTAAAAAAGATGTCCGCTCTCCTACACAACCAGGATTGACATTGAGATCATGTAGTAACATAGTTTGAAAGCCATGTGATTGTGACCAGATTCTCACTCTCGTCT